ACTCCTAAGCACACGGTCCCCCTGTTCAGTTTCCCCGTCCCCGCCCGGACAAGTACATACACACATACATGCATGCAATCGACAACCCTTAACAAGACATTTAATCATCCATAGACCTTCGACATCACTCATGCGCACAACCAGCTCCCATCACTCGGGGCTTCACACACACGACATGCGTAGACAAAGCAGCAATGGAGATAAAAGCGAGTCCTTCTTGTACACAAAAATTCTCAATTAACTGCCGCCCCCAGGCGCAGCCTTCAAAACCTCCCAAGACCACCGACCACCATAGCCACAAGGCCCTGCCGCAGCCGGCGTCCCATCCCCACCACTGCTCAGTCCATCCGACTGCTTCGCCCCGAGACTACCGCGGGTCCACCCCACGTCGTCACTCCGCCCGTCCTTAGGCTCGTCGAGCCTGTTCGGCGCCGCGGACTTTCGCGCATGGCTCGCGCAGCATTGCAGCCGAGATCAAAGAGAGAGAGAGGAGAGGGTTGCGCGAATTTATAGCGCGGGAGGCGGCGGGTTGTCAGCTCGAGGTGCGGGCAACACAGGTTGTAGATGAGCAGGACAGGAGGAAGGTGGGGAGTTAGAGGGTTCGACCCGCAGGATGGCATGGTCCTACGTGATTGGGGTGTCCGTTCAAGTGGTGCGCGGTTTCCCGCTCTCCACATTGATCCGAGCATCYCAACTACGCGGCCAATCACTTCGCGGAGTAAGGATCGAGCTGGGCGGAGGGGAAGACAAAGAGTCCTGCATGGGGGAAATGCGCGCAGCAAGAAGGAACATGTTATTTGTTAAAACAGTACATTATTGTGTGTACTATTTTGAAACGAATTTATGACACAGTGTATAGTCTGCTGTAGTATTCCAGATCCGGATACATCTGAACAAGGAGTAAAGCAGCTTTGAGGCGAGGAGCACAGTCAGTACACATAGTTGCTCTCCTCTCGTGGTTCGGATGTGTCCAGATGTGGAACACCACAGCAGAGTATACACTGTGTTATACGCCTCTGAGTCAGTACATATATCTACTACCACTGTGTTATAATATGTATTGCTGCCTCAATACATATATCTCCTGTGTCCAGTTGTGGAACACCAAAACAGAGTAATATATACCACTATGTCATAGTTTCACTTGGAGTTGAGCATCCCACTCATCCGAATCAGAACAGTATAATGACACAAACTCGAGTTTGTGAGTAAAACGAGTTGTGGCTCTTCACAGACTTAGAGGAGTAGGATGACCTGTATTTAGAAGTGTGAGGACCAGAATGAATTGGAGTTCTGCACCGATGATCGTGTACATGTATAGAGCGAGAGAGATAGAAAGAGAGAGAGAGACAGAAAGAGCGAGAGAGAGAGACAGAAAGAGCGAGAGACAGAGAGTCTTAGAGAGACTGTACTTAATTTTCAGGGGACGCAGGGTCGAGCACACGCGTAGACCATCAGCCTCGTTTTTTTAAGCATTTCAGACGATCACTGTAGGAGAGCAGCAAGGTAATGTGAATTTCCAAGATAAGCGAAGCTCGGATGTATTCGAGATCACAGGAGATAGACAGACAGAGGAAGTCCGCAAGAAATGGTCGTGTACATTTGAAGAGCGAGAGATATAGAAAAAGAGAGAGAGACAGAAAGAGCGGGAGACAGAGTGTCTCAGAGAGACTGTACTTAATTTTCTCGAGACGCCGCACGAACGGCGCAGGGTCGAGCACATGCGGAGATCATCAGCCTCGCTTTTAAAAGCATTTCAGACGATCGTTGCAGAAGAGCAGCAAGGCAATGTGATTTTCCCACATAAGCGAAGATCGGATATATTCGAGATCACAGGAGATTGACAGAGAGGAAGCCCGCAAGAAATGACATATTAGCACACCAGAGGGCTGAGAGATGGAAAAGACAAGCACCGTATAGTCACCCACAACATTTCGTATTACGGACGTATCCGAAGTGTCGAACTAGTATACACCCTTCAGTTTGAAGCTTCCCCTGTGCTTTTTGGAACACAATTCAAAAAGTATCTTTTGCGAAACTGAGAGAGAGAGAGAGAGAGAGAGAGAGAGAGAGAGAGAGAGAGA